ACCCATTGCAGGGGCTACAAATTAAGAAAGGACAGAGAGCTCCTCTGAGGCCTTTGCAGAAGACTGAGAGTTGGACCTGGAAGGGGATACATTTTATTTCTACAGGTGACTTATTAAGTCACACAATGTCAAGTTCACTTTTCATGGTATTTAGTTCAGTTTCAGCTTAGGTCTCACACTAGTTTATGCTTTGAGGTCATTGTCAAGTCCTAGAATATATTGTCTAGTCTTTGCCTTCTTCTTTTCTTCCTTTGCATCAGGAGGAAGTTTTTGTTGGTTTCTTTGTTTTATAATCCTAGGCCTTAAACCCCTAGACACTCTATCCATGAGCTACATCCTCATCCCTCTTCATGAGTTTTTATTGGCTCAGAGAAAACCACTATTCACATTCCAATTATTCAGCCTCAAAGTCAAGTTGAAATGGCTCTGTATATTAATGGAGGTTTGTCAGGGACTGACAGCACATTGCCATAAAGGAAATTATTTTGCAGGGCTTACCACCAAAAGAATGCTTTTCTTTGGCAACTAACCATCACCATTAGTAGAAGTAAGAATATATATATAGTTTCCAAGGAAGTTCTCTTACTGACGGCTGTAGATGACAATTATTTCAATCTTAAAAGAAAAACAATGTGTTTTGAAGTTTTAATTTTAAGTATTTCTCAAACTTACAGTTTTGGATGTTTTAAAATAATAATTTGAAACTGTAATTTAGGTTTGTAACTTTTGTAAATTTAAGTGCATTTAATTTCTGAAAATTTGTTTGCTTTAATTTAGCAGTTAAAATTGGACATTGTGAATGTTTGTAAAATTTAAAGGCATGACAATTGTTTTCTTAAAGAACTTGTTGGCCCCTACCATGCCTGTGTACACACATATCATCCAAATCCACACAGCCTTTGTATACACTGCACACGTATCAGATGCACACACCATGCAGCCTTGCTTGCTGTGCTTTTCCTGCCTGCACTGAGACACCCACTTGCACCAACGATCAGGCTCACTCCACATATCCCTGCAGCACTGGGCTCCTCCAGGCCCTGTCTATTGCTTTATGCTCAGCCACGAACCTCCTTACCCAGATGGCACAGAGGAAGTCCCTTGTCCTCTGGAGAGGTGCCCACAGGCTCAGGAGCCCTCAATTACAAACAGATCTTTGCTGCAGCCTAATAATTTCTTTTCCCTCCAGAGGATCCAGGTGGACAGATGTGTCCACAGCTACAGTAGAATGAGTGTTTGCCCAAGAGGCCTGAGTGACTTCTGAATCTTCAAGACCCACATCTTCTAGGAGTGTCTGAAGTGGTAATAACAAATCCTGGAGTGCTTACATGCCCCTCATCAGTTCCACTGCAGAGAACTCCGGCCAGTTGCCCTGTTGCTTCTTTGTAAGGTGTGTGATGGGAGGAGCAGACTGACAACCTTAACACTGATGGTTTCAAATGCAAAAATGAATGAAGTGAGAGCACATGTGTGGAGCAGGAGCCCAGGAGTGAGGGGCTTGTGCCTGGGAGCAGATAATGAAGAATGCCACTCTGCAAGCACAATGCTCAATGGCAGCACTTCAGAGTACCTTGTACCTTGTCTACTTTGTGTGTGTTTGAAATTGTCATTATAAGATGCTTATTGACAGCAAGTACCAATATGACAGAGGATCTAAAGGGCATCAAATCCAAAAAAGAAAAATTAAAAGGGAAATCTTAGTGCAGGGTGCCATGATTTCTCAAGTTGGCGATGATATGGCAAGATTGCCATAAGTCACTGAGTCAATCTTAAGGCAGGAGGCAGAACCATCTTTATTCACCAGCTGGTGGGCCAAAGGGTCCAAGGCTACACCTTCAACCCCTTCCTGGGATAGAGGACACCTTTTAAACATGCCAATTTATTAAATCATATGTGTCTGTCACTATGAGTTAAGACTACAAATATCAGGAGATCCAAAATGATAAGCAGAAGGGTAAGTGTGGTACATCATCTATAAATTATTTGAGATTATCTTCACTCAGCCTTGAGCCAGGGAGATTTAGGTTTGGCATTGAAAACTATTTTGTGGCTCCTCCCACTTAATGGGTTATGCAATATCAGTGACCTCTGTCTTCACTCAGCTAGGAAGACCACTTTTGTGCCTCTGGAGTTGAGCATAACCCATTGGAAACTGGACATCTCACAGCCCACCTCCTATCTTAATTGGTGAAGAAAATTCTAAGGGAAACCTTTTATGTTTTCCTTATATAAATAAAACAAACACAGGTTCTTGCTCTCTCTTTCCAACTTGGAAGCTTGATCCCTAATATCACAGAGCCATCTTGCCCTTCCTTTATAAAATTGCTTACTATTTCCTGTGGTTTCTATGCTGTTTTTTGTTTTTTGGCCTTAGCTTTTATTCCACAGCCAGCCCGCTCCACACAGAGGAATCTCAAATTTCATTGCCCACATGGGACATGTGTGAGAGGAAAATGTGTCAAAATGACCTTAGTTGAGTACAAGTTGAAGAATGGTCACCAACATCTACACAAACATTCTCTGACACGGTACATTACCCAAGAAAAATGGAAACAAACAAACAACAACAACAAAAAAAAAACAGAGCAATTGAACATGTTATAAGAACAGAAACATGTGTATTTCTAAGCAGGGTGTGCTAAGCATAATCAGTATGATGGGGGGGGGTTCTCATGGAAGAAGCATTTCTTACATGACATGGAGTCTCAGGATAAGGTGGAGTCTGTTTGGTCATTGCCCATAGCTGGGCCCATAACAGTGAGAAGGGATCTTCAACTCTATTGACTGCCAGTGAATCAACCTTTGTTAGCAGTTTCCTTGACACAGCACTTGGGGATGCTGTACAAGTCATGCATATGTTCAAATGATAGTGCTCACTCTGTTCTCCAAGTTTCTTTAAGAATGTAGCAACCAGAAAATAGAATCTTTCAAGGGCAAGTCCCTTGAATGACTTTTGAGACAGCAACCTATGTGTTCCCACAGAAAAAACCTACCATCCTTGGCCCTCCCCGTAGGGCTATGGAAGTCTGCTGGTAACTCTCTTAAAATCATTTAAGCCAGGAACAATAGCACACACCTGTAATCCCAGTGGCTCAAGAGGATAAAGCAGGAGGATGAAGAGTTCAAAGCCAGCATCAGCAACTTAGCAAGGCCCTAAGCAACTCAGCTAGACTGTCTCTTATAAAAAAAACAAAAACAAAAAAACAACTTCTCTCACTGAACATTTAAGATTTGTATGGGTAAATATTTCTTTCAAGGCACAGTGGCACATGCCTGTAATCCCAGGGTTTCAGGAGGCTAAGGCAAGAGAAGTGCATTTCTGAAGCCAGCCTCAGCAACTTAGCAAGATCCTTTCTCAAATAAAAAAATTAATTATTTTCTCAAATAAAAAATAAAGTAGAAATGTTGCTCACTGGTATAGAAGCCCTGGGTTCATTTCCCAGTACCAAAAAGTAAAGTGTCTTTTATTGTGATACTGTTTCACATATAGGTCTTAAAAAATACCAGTATTCCATGTTAATTTAGGTAAAGTACAGATAGGGTAATCACCCTTATTGCACTTGATCTCTTGTTTCATCGGTTTAGCAGTCTCCCTTCTGTATTGAAGGTGACTGGTTATAAAATTCTCATAGATGACTGGGCTCAAGACTTACCATCTGGAAGCAGTTATTTCCTTTTTTGTTTGGGAAACTCTGATTATCCTTCATGAAAACAAGAAAAAATAGGGGGAGATGTAAATATATAATTTTTTAAGTGAGTGGCTTATGCTATACTGCAGTTATAGTGAGGCAAATAAATGAAACACACCACATACACCCCTCACTTTTAAAAAAGAAATGTGAACTTCCCATTTCAAAGCCTGCTGTCCAGACTTGCTGACAAGCACATAAGGTGGCATTTGGGGTCACAGTGCTCAAAATAGAACCACATGCCATTGGAAAAAGGAGGAAGTCATAATGAGTGACTGGACCTTTTCTTTAGAATTTATGAATTTGTGATTCAGGTATTCCACTTCTGGTTATGTGCTGAAAGTGAATGAGGGGTTCATAAGCACAGTGTTAGGGGGAAAAACAAGTACTAGGGCTCTAGGGTTCAATTATACTGTAGGGTAACTACAGCTATTAATGTGTGGTGCATTCAAAGATGAGAAGAAACACTCTCAATGTTTTCCCCATAGTGATAAAAACTTTGTGAGGTGTGAAAGTTATGTGAATTACTGATTGGATCATGTGATATGTACATGTATTGAAACTTTCCTCTAAACCCAATAATTACAATTCTTCCCTGTAAGTTGAAAATTATTCAAAATGAATGCAATAACTCAGGCTGGGGTTCTAACTTAGTGGTAGAGCACCTGCCTAAACTGGGTTTGATCCTCACCAGTAAATTAATAAATGTATAGACAAATAAATAAATAAATGTATCAGGTTCAACAAAAAATATTTTTTAAAATACAATAACACCTCAGTTACTCCCAAATTACAATTTAACTTTCCATAGAAAGTTAAAAATATATATAAAAAATAAAATAAAATATTAAAAACTGATACCAGAAATTGAATCCACTAGTGCTTAAAAATCACATCCCCAATTCTTTTTGTTTTATATTTTGAGACAGGGTCTAAGTAGCTGAGATTGGCTTTGAACTTGGATCCTCCTGCCCCAGCTTCTTGAGTTGCTGGAATTAAAAATATATAACACTGAGACTGACACCTGTAGTATAAAATTTTAGAGTACTAAATCAAAATAAAGAACTCTGGGGCTTATTTTCATGTTCTTATACCTTATCTCTAACTGTATCAATTTCTCCATAATTACAAACAGAAGAAATGAATATAGATCTGATTTATGGGAAAACTATTCTCCAAATAAGTTGCTATTTCTAAAAAGATTAATGGACATATTTTAGTATGTTTTTATTATCTGTTATGTGTAACCCTTAGTAAAGAGGTACAGTGTGATAACTCTGACATAATACCATGATTCAATACAAAACAATGTTAACACATTAACACTTTTTACTTTTATTTAGTAACAAAATCCATACATACTCTGAATAAAGTGTTTCAAAATCCACTGTAAAGTCTCAAAAATATAGATTAACAACTCTCAGGAACAAGTCTTCTGATAAAAAGATCTGTTAGGATTGTTTTCTCTAGTTTTCAAAAGTGAAGATATTGAGTAATTTTTGAGACAAGTTTTGTACACTATTCTATGATTATTTGAGAGAATTTTTTATACTACATTAGCCAAGGGTATTTAATAAATTTTATGCAAAAGTTAAAGGCAGGGCTAGGGCCGAAGTGCAGTGATAAAGCACTTGCCTCAGAAGTGTGAGGCACTGGATTCAATCCTCAGCACCACATAAAAATGAATAAATAAAAATAAAGATGTTGTGTCCATCAATTACTAAAAACATTTTTTTTTAAAGTTAAAGGCAATTCCTCATTTTCTTCTCACTTCAAGTTATGAGGTACAGATAAGGGCTTTGCCATATTTTAAAATATTTTTTCAAGGGATTTATTCAGTATAGATATTTTGCTGTTATCAATTGGCCTTATATCTAAATATAAGGCATTTTATTTCAGGCAAATGTCTTTCTACATTTTCTATAGATATCAGATTTCTAATGTTAAAGAATGTTTGAAATTTGAGTAAAGACTTGGTATTTAAATTGTTTAGGGGTTCTATGCATTATGAATTCTCCAGTGATAAGCAATGTTTGAGAAATTGCTGAGGTCTGCAACAGTTTTTACACTTGTATTATCTCTCCCCATTACTCAGTGCTTCAGTGAGTAAGGAATTAACAACTATAGACACATTGTCACATTTGGGTCTTTGTATAATTTCACTCTCCTATTATTCCTGTAGTGTGTAATAAGAGTTGAACCATTTTTAGCACAATGTTAACATTTGTAGGACTTTTCTCTAATATGAATTTTCTGATGTTCAGTAAGGTGTGGTCTTTGAGTAAAAATTTTTCCACATTCTTCACATGCGTAGGGCTTCTCTCCAGCATGAATTCTCTGATGTTGAGTAAGGTTTGAGCTTTGAGTAAAACTTTTCCCACATTCATTACATTTGAAGGGCTTCTCTCCAGTATGAATTTTCTGGTGTTGAGTAAGATGTGGTTTTTGAGTAAAACCTTTCCCACATTCTTCACATTTGTAGGGCTTCTC